TTATCTATTTTATATTTTATAGATAGTTTTTCAAATGTATAAAAAAGAAATACATGGTTTTGATTTTATTTTTATCACTCAAATCATGACGAGTCAATTTATATACATGTGCGTGCGCATTTTGTGAGTATAATTTCTCTAATACTATCCCGTGTTCAATTTGAATTGATCTTCTAATAAAATATATTTTTAAGTGTCGTGGAACAATTAGAAGATTCTCTATAAAATTGTTCTTATGATATGGGTCAAATCACAGTTATATAAGAAGAAATATCGATTCCATTGATCACATATTGAATTCTCTCAATGGAAATATGGAATCATTATCTTAAAATTTTGCATATGTATTTCAGCGTAGATGTATATCTGCATTGATGACATAAATATAAATAAATAAATAAATATGTCTCCTTAATAACTTAATTTTTTTGACGAAATTATTTTTGATAAAATGAGTCACGATCAATGTCGCGATTTGATAGGCAGCCGAATTTCTAGTGCACCAAGCCTAACTCATTCAAAGAAAGTTAGGTTTTGTCCAAAATTGCTTTTTCAAATGATTCAAAGAGTGCAACCTAAGTAAAATGAAAAGGGGAAGAATGCATGATGCCCAACTTATCGATATTCCCTTTTGAAGTATGTTTATATGTCTTGACAATTTAATATTATTTCAAAATCTCCACTCACTTCATCTAACTTAGTACAAAATGAACTCGCAAACCAGAAGAAGGAAAATTAAACCTAATTTTAAATTTTCAATAATTGACGACATAATTAAAATTCGACTTGTGTACTTAATAAAACATTTACAGATACTATAAAATATTAAAGTTGTTTGAATTAATTAGTTCAACAAGAACTTGTAAAATAACATACAAAACAAACTTAAAAACATTTTGGAAATTTACGAAAGTGTTTCAAAAATTCTATTGTTTAGTTAAAAAAAAAATTAACATTGGAACACTTTAGAGCTTGTAAGTGTGAGTTAGTTCATGTACATCAAAAGGTTGAGAGGGCAAGGAATCATCCAATGAGGTCCAAAACCAATGCATCGTTGCAGCTGTTGAGTCACTTTTATTACCCAAACTTAATGCAACCGTGAATTATAAAAAAATATTTATTTACTCATAAATAATTTCTTATAAAAATCTTAAATCAGGATCTAAAAGTAAAAAGGGGGGCAGAACTATCCTAACAAATTATCGAAAATTCACAATTTGGTGGGAAAAAATCAAGTTGAGTGGTTCAATTGCTTAAAATATAAAATTTATTATGTTGTTTTAACCTGTTAACATGTCATTATGTTCTTGTTGGTGAATAGGCCTTTGCAATTTTATTTCCTTATCTTTGAAGGAAGGCTTGAATTGGCAGTCATGATTAACTATGAGAGGATTATTTAAACAAACCTTGTTTTATATTGTAAAAAATCTATTTTTGATAAGTGCCTCCTCATTTCAATCAAATATAAAATATTAAACCACATACAAATATGGTAACCCACACCTGGCATTAGGTTTTGTTGGGGGACATGTATATGATCAAAAAAGCCAGTTGTACAAGAATAATAATCTACAGAAGGCTTATAAACACTCGTACAGGGGCAAACCCGTGTGAATTAAAAGATTGCAAAAAATAACCCACCCACTCCCTACATATGTGTATTCTGTATCGGTTCTGTACATATTTTCTGCATGTGTAGCTTGATTGTTATATGATTATACATTTCCCTCCAATTCAAGTTATAGGAGGAATATAGTACATAAACATGTGTATATGTGTGTATGCATGATTGTTTTTACACACCCTCTTATCTCTATATGTATAATCGGGTGTTGAATTAGACAAGTTGAGGGGGAGGAGGCTTGCTCAACAAAGTACAGCTTGACTGACCTCACACGCTCACGCCCTTGGTGGGACAAGCCGAATTAACTCACCATAATATTTTAAAAAATTAATTTATTTTAATGAAATTGTGTAGTTTCTCTCAATTTGGCGAGTTAGTTCACACACGAGTTGAGGAGCTCATGAGCAAACTAACTTGCTCAACTCTCATGGCCAAACCCCCTTCTGGACTTGTTGCGTGCGACTATATTTGTGTGTGTTACAAACACAGGTGTGATTGTGGTGAGATATATCGAAAATTATATGATTTTTCTCTATATTTTTAAATTTAAAAGGATAACGATTATAAGTACATAAAATATCATTGTCCTTTATAAAAATCGTACACGTTAATTTTTGAACGAACAATGCGGGGCTTCTGACATCATGGCAATACAATTTCACTAGTGCACAAAGCCTAACACATTCGAAGGGATATAATTACATGCCCAAAATTGCTTTTTTCTTATAAAAAAGGAGAAGTCATTTATAAGGGATTGATTCAAAGAGTGCAACCTAAGTAAGTGAAAAGGTAAAGGATGCATGAGGGCAACCTTATTGAAAATTCTTTTTGAAATTTGTTTATATTTATGAACTATTCAATGTCATATCAAACTCTCGTCTCGTATTAAATAATATAAAATGAACTTGATAATAATAAAAACAAGTATAACTAAAACCAATATGAACTTTAAAATATTTTTTCGATGCAACTGGAGGTTGTACTTTTGAATTTTAGCGAATATCGATTAATATTACGAAATAATGAAATTGTTTTAGTTTAGCTTTTAGTTCTTGTACATCAAAAGGGCATAGAGTCATCCAATGATGTCCATATCCATTTTACATCTCTGCAGCTGTTGAGTCGCTTTTAATTAGAGGAAATTTCTTTATTTAAGACACTTTTAGTGTCCAAAAATAAATTTCTTTAGTTACTTTTGAGTTTGTAAATAATGTTACTTTTTAACAATATTTTATAAACATACCTTTTTCTTTTAGAAAGTATAATTATATCCCCTTCGTCTTTTTTACTCCAATTTTCAAATTTTTAACATTTTTATCTAAGTAAGCAAAGTTGGCGAGATTTTTTAGTCCATTTAGCCCCCGTTTGGTGCACATTATTTAGGAAAATAATACATTTTTTCCATCAATCAGCCTATAATATTTGACTTCAACACTTTGTAAGACCCATGATATGATATTTAAAATGCATTTTTGTTTGAAAAAATGTGGAACAAACGGACTCTACACAAACACCTCTTTTTCTTTTTGGACGAATTTCAAATTATCTAGACATTCATGTCAAACAAGATATTATTATTTTAAAAATTGCAAATATATATTGTTTAACACAAAACAAATAAGGTGATATATTATTAAGATAAAAAGATTAAATTAATCAATCGATTGATTTTCCATAAAATATTAATATTTAAAATGGAAATATATAATTAGGAATTACTATTTTGTATTAGAAACAATCTTTTAACACTTCATACTTTTTAAAATCCTTATATTAGTATCATTTTATAAATAGAAAGACGCGATTCAATAGAAAATTTTGCTAAGGCAGTCTGTTATATGGAAACCTTGAACTGAATTGTCAATAACTACAATGGATCTGCATCGGACTTACAATTTAATTTAATTTTGCATAAAAATTCCGTGATAATTGATACACCAAAGTAATAAGTTACAGGGGTATATTTAACGCATCATTTTCATTGGTTGTGGTGACACAATAACAGATCTCAAATGAATATGATTGGAAAGTGCTGCCACGCGTTATCTAGATTAGTTCCTTTCTTTTTTGAAAGAATTTCTCTCTATTTTACACTTCTAAAATATTGCACCATGTTTGGGAGTAATTTTTTGGCCCAAAAAATTGATTTCTTAACCGTTATTTCATTATTTCAGTCGTCATATTTGATTTCTTCTCTTACAGATAGACCTTACTTTTCTCCTAACGGTCAAAAAATCAATTCTCAAAATCACTCTCAAACATACTATTTGTTTGAGGAATTATCTCAATTAGGAGAAAATTTTCAATATTTTCGAAAAATGGATATCATATTCACTATTTAATTGACATGTATATTATTTATTTATTCTTCAAGTGCCCCTCTCGTACCTCGTTTATAACGTATAACAATATTTAGCTTCCTGCCTCTAATTTTATAAATTTAATGAGTATCGTTTATATAAAATTTCAAGTTTTCCATTTTGAATCGTAATCTTGTGCTTGCTCATAATTCCTTAACCATTACTTTGGCCTAGAATTGCTGCTTGATTTAGTGGTTTGTATTAATTTTTTGTTATGAGGGTGTTTGAGAGACATGTTTATGTAAAAATGCATTTTTGAATAGTAAATTGATGGGAAATGTCTGGTTAAAAAATAATGAAATTTTTTTTATTTACGTGTAATATTATTTTAATAAAGAATGCGTGATTGAAAAGAAAAGAAAAAAAAATACATTTGAAAAAAATGGGTACCAAACAGGACCTATCTCTTGTATTTCTCTCATTCATAAAAGGATTCAATAATATTTCATAATTCTATGTAATTGTAACATTTTAGTGAATAATGACTATCCACCGGCTAATGTCCTTGCCCAAGGACACACCAATTAAAGATTACGTTAATGCTATTTTGTTACGAACAATCACTCTCAATTATGTTATATTTCATAATTTTGTGTGTATAATTACAACATATAATTGTGATGTATTATTGAATAACTCCCATTAATTGACAACCGTAATGTTTCGTATCATCCATTTATTGATAATCTCGAGTAAGAACACACTAGTTTAAAATGTCATTTACTCATAATTCCAGCTGATTTAAAATAAATTTACGTCATATTATTGTCATTTTTCATAAAAGAGAAATCAAAAAATAAAAAGCAAAAGGTAAGAGAATCCCGTTTCAATTTTCCAACTTTAGGTGTAAAAATCCGTGGTCAAATCAACTCATTTACCATGTATACACATATTTCACACACATATATCCACACATTTGTAATCGGTGTACGCGCATTCAAGTGTGGAGAAAATAAAAAAGTTCAAAAACACAAGCTGGGAAGGGGGACGAGGGGGGAGAGAGAGAGAGAGAGAGAGCGGTGGGAGAAGTGGTGTGGGACCCGTGTGTAATCAGAGCGAGGAGTGGGGTGTTGAAGAAGACTTCAACATCACGACAGCGAAGGGTTGAGGGTAAAAGCCAGCTTGCAATGAAGCAAGAGTCTCACCTACCGTTTCTTTCTTTTTAGCCTCTCTCTAATTCTCAACTTCATACGCCATTTTTGGTTGCTGTCAACTCTCTTTTCTCTCCTCCTTCTTCATATTATCTCATATATATACATATAACATATACGTAATGGAGGAATAGTATAGGAGCCTTGTTTGCCTTGTGTTTTGTTTCAGAGTTTTGCTTTGAAATTTGTGCCCTATAAAGAGATACTGTATACTCTGCTACTGTTTTTGGAGCATTTGGGCGGGATTTTTTTGGGGTTTTAACTACAGGTTTGTCTCTACATTTCTTTGATTTTCTCACTCTCACAATTCAAAAAAGAGCTTGTTTTCTTTGAGTTTCTTACTTGGAATGTCATGGGTTTTTCATAAAATAAATTCTCTGGGGTCTTTTCTTCTTCGTTTATTCTGGATTTTTCATTATTAAGTTACCTATTTCTTGGGTCTTATTTTCTGTGTTTTTCTTTACAATTCAAAAACTACAATTTTTGGGTCCTTTGCGTCTTACAAGATTTTGGGCATTTCTGCTCGAGAAAGGAGAAGCTGAAATCGAGGTTGGAATCGCCCTTTTTTTTTGTTTGTTTAGTCGTCCGAATGTTGGAGTCTTTTTGCCGTATTCTCTATGAAATGAGCAAAAAAGGTGCTGAATTTAAGCCAGAGTTTTGTTTTCTGTTTCTGTCTGTGAAATGTGAGCATTTTCCATTTTTGTTCCAGAAAAAATGGGAACGTTTGTGTTTTTATGGCCTTTTTCTTTTTCAATTAACCCAAAGGGAGTAAAATTTACAAAAACGAGTCACTAATTGTAATCTTTTATTAACATGATTTTCAGCAACTTGCCATTTCTTGAATATTGCATTGTTCTGAAGTTCTACTTCTAATGAATTTGATATTTCTTTAACTCTACTATTTTTACACCTTTTATTGCAGGAAAATTACTGCAAATTTTCAAGTTCTGAGGCCTTCTGAATTTGATTCTTGAAGTATTTTCCCTTGCCAACAAACAAACTTCAAGGTTTGCTCCATACTGAAGAGTATTATTTATTGTACTGTCCTGTATTATACAAGAAACATGTCCCGTCCTGCTTTTTTTTTTTTTTTCATGAAATTGTGTCGGTGCAGTCACGGTAAAAGGTAGACTACACAATTGTAAAAATAGTGTCAAACCTTTCTGTTCACATTTGCTTCTAATTTCACTTCCATTTGAAGGTATTTTTTCATTTGTTGCTTCATTTTTCATTAATTACAAGATTTTCGAATCCAGATGGAAGTAGTCTAAATTTAGCTTACTCGGTGCCAGATTCCAAAATTACTTTTAATAAAAAATTTCAACTTTTTCTGCTAAGATGCGCCACGCACACCCTCTGAGCTGGCAAGCATTTTTATCAGCCATCTTTCTAGTGGCCCCCTCCTCCACCACTTGCACACGCTAGCATCAAACCCCATTCAAGTTCAAGAGATTCTTATTCATCCATTCGTTCATTATCTATTTGCATGCAAATGTTAATATGCTGGCATCTAGTATTTTCTCAAGTATAATTTTTTTTGTTCTAATTACAGGAAAAGTTTGTAGAAATATAAAGTGATGGGGCCTAATTTCATGGATGAAATTGACTGTGGAAATTTCTTTGATCAAATTGATGACTTGATGGAGTTCCCCCCTGAAAATGAGTGTGCTGGCGGTGGCCTTGTTGGTAATGGTGATATCAAGGATTTTCCAAGCATTTGGGACGATGCATTGCGAGATACCGACCCCCTTTTCTGCGGCAGCACTAGCAATACTGCATCCGACCTCTCAACTGAGCTTGCTGTTCCGGTGAGCATCAATATGTTATACTCAATTGTCATAATATTTGTTGCTCCTCATTTCGTTACAAATTAGTCCAATGTATGCAGTCTGCGAAATTTGTCGAATCATTTATTGTGCAAGTGTATGATTCAGGATTATGAAATATGCTTATTTTTGCCGACAGTCGTGCTCAAGACCCACCAGTTATCGCTCAATTTATGATTGTCCTTATGTGAGCATATTAGTTAGCTCAACCAAGGCTTAGTTTGTTGTTAGGATTGTTAATCGTGTCATTAATTCGTTCTATATGCCAGTTAGGCAATCGCTGTTAAAGTAATATTGCCTAATGAATAATACTATTTATTCCCACTTGGGACGATCACGTTCTTGGCATATTATTGATTATTTTTTTTTTTTGTGTGTGTCTGTATGATATCTATGATAAATTCTGCTATATTGACTAGTGGGGGACAAGTTTTGGTTGAATTTTGACTTTTTATATTTAAAATTCAATGTTTTAAAGCTTCTAAGCTCAATCAATAAGTCAGCTTGACGATTTTGTGCAATTCTGTCCCTATACGTGCAATATATCTTCAAAATTTCAAATTTATGTTCGATAAATGCTGATGCTTTCTTTTGTTGTGTTCCCCCAGTATGAGGACATCGTTCAGCTAGAATGGCTTTCGACATTTGTGGAGGATTCCTTCTCGGGTGGAGGGTCGACCTTTGGAAAAGAAAACTTGTGCGGAAACACAGAGCCATCACATAACCAATTCCAATCATCGAGTCCCATTTCTGTACTTGAGAGCAGCAGTAGCAGCAGCAGCTCCTGCGCTGGAGGGAAGACTATGCCTCTCAGTCCAAGTCACCGGGGTCCACAACGTGCTCGAAGCAAGCGTCCTCGTCCAGCAACTTTCAATCCCCGACCTGCTATCCAACTCATATCCCCTCCGTTCTCCTCCATCCAGGCTCCCCAGCCATTTGTTACTCCTGGAGTTTCCTCAGAAGGTGAGAACTTTGCAGAGTCTCAACCAGTGAAGAAGATCCCCAAACCAGTTTATGGAGTGGAGAAAAAGAAAAAGAAAATCAAACTGTCCATTCCACCTGAGTCAAATCAGAATCCTTCAACACAAGCCGTTAGGAAATGCCTGCACTGTGAGATAACAAAGACTCCCCAATGGAGGGCCGGCCCAATGGGGCCGAAAACTCTTTGCAATGCATGTGGTGTCCGCTACAAGTCAGGCCGATTGTATCCCGAATATCGCCCCGCTGCAAGTCCCACATTCAGTCCAACTTTGCACTCAAATTCTCACAAGAAAGTCGTCGAAATGAGAAGCAAGATCGGAGAACGTTCTGTAGCAAACACCCCAACTGCTGCTAAACCGGAGTTCACCCCAGAAGCTTCCCCGGTGTGCATGTGACGAAACGTCCTCGTTGCCATTCTATTGCAGGTTCTTTCATTTGTTTGTTCATTGGTTCTTTGTACAGTGATGCAATGAGGGTCAGGAGCTCTAGTTTACAATATTTAGCCAAGTAGAGAGAAGGAATGAGATGATCAAAGAATCAGAAAAAGGTTAGAGATTAAAATGGAGTTTAGGGAGTCAGTGCTTAGTTTTTAGACTTGTTTAGGTCATATTATAGCTTTGTGGTCAGCGTTCTTCCATTTCCCTCTTTTGGGAATTCTTTTTGCAGTTAATTTGTTGTAGGAATTTCTTAAATTAGTATTGAGTTTGAATTAAGTCTTAAACTCTTGCCTATTTTCCATTTCTATTTAAGTATTTGAATGGTTGGTTGTCTCCAGTTATTGATGGCTTGATACTGTTTCGACGACGTAAGAGCATTAGTCGACTGTTGGCCGAGACAAATTATGTTATATTTCTGGGACATTTTTTTGTTCCCACGAACATTCTATCAACGGTAGGTCGAGATAAATTAATTTTTATAGGAAAAATTATTGTAGCGGTCTCTAACCTTTTCAATTTTTGTAAACTTTATCATAACATTTAATTTGTGTTGGTGGAGGGTTCTAACCTTTCAAAAATATGCATTTAGAGTTGAAGTGGATGAAATTCGTTCATTTGTCCGTTAGTTGACCAAGAGAATCAAAATTGATCAAATTTTGACCAAATTAAAAAAGGGTAAAAGGGTAAGTTCGCATTTTTCTTATATTAAATAAATTTAAAAATAAAAAATAACCATCTTCCACCCTTACCCTATCCTCCAACCCCATCGCTACCCATATCCCTTACCCCAATACCAAAACTTTGCAACCTTTCACCGCCCTCAAGAGATTGCCGCCACCACCAAATCCACAGTCACCACTAATAAACTGCCACCAAAACAAAAATCAACTCCACAACTACCATCACTAAATTGCCACCAAAATCAAACCCACTGTTGACATATCGAATTGGACTTTCCATGTGGCCAACCGATATCGCTCCATGTAATCTTTCCTGCGCACAATAACGAACGATCAAAAGCATACGGTCGAAACCAATGGGGGCAGCGATGACGACGGACGCATACACTCCGACGATCAAGTCAGTGATTGGTGATCAGAACAGTGCTTGAATCGTGCAAGAGAGTGGGGAGGAGAATAAATATTTCTTGTGTGTGGAGAGCTAAGTCTAGTATGAAGTTCATTACCTTTGTCTCTTACCAAACCTTGAATATTTATATATGAGGAGCACTGTTGGATGTGAAACACGTGTATGCATTTGACGGTGTAAGACGTCTGCTCGTAAACGTCAATCAATCGCTTCTAGAGTTGACGGGTAATTAATTCTCCTGAGTTGAGTTGGCATAAAGTTAATATGTCACATCAATTAGGCCCACGAAGATGTCACCTCCATAGAGGATCCTAGCACAGATAGACTTCTGAAATAGGCAGTGGAGACATCTTTTAGGGAAGTACCTCGGAGTGCCCAACACTTCGATTTCAGGGGGCGCTTCGGTCTCCAGATTTAGTTTGTGATGTATGTGCCTTGTAGTGTGTTAAGTTGGAGTTTGATCAAGGTTGACATCGCTTTGGAACCACTTCATAGTGACACGTGGAGCCTCATGGAGGAGTGTATCTGTCGTGCCAAAGTGGTTTGGTGAGCAGCGTAACAGTGGATTTAGTTTGTGATGTATGTGTCTTGTAGTGTGTCAAGTTGGAGTTCGATCGAGGTTGACGTCGCTTTGAAACCACTTCGTAGCGACATGTGGAGCCTCGTGGAGGAGCGTTTTTGTCGTGCCGAAGCAATTTGGTGAGAGGTGCAACATTCACCACTGACCCATTCAATAACTAGCGCCACCACTGACCTAAACTGCCACCAAAACCAAACCCAGTACCAAAACAAATAGAGCCACCCGCCACTGCCACATTTGAACAGAGGCAATCACCATTAAAGAAAGTCCGTGAAAAACCTATTTGGCCATTCCATTACTGGAACCAACATGACTACCGCCAGGCCGATGCCAATAGCTTCCTCCACCTCGGCATCTACAATGTTTGGAGGTGGTGCATCTGACAATCTTGCAGTTTCACATCATCATCTTATACACAGCAAAATGGAAGATAAATAAAAAATGAAAAGGGAAATCAATGAATTTGCAGAAAATCAGAGGGTAAATTGTTTTTCACCACCACTTTGCCTTAATAAAATTGCAAAAATCGGATTTTACACCACCACTGACGATTCTGAACCAAATCCTTCAAATTCAATTCTAGATATCCCAATAATAATCAAATCTTTTGACTCACCATATAAATCCAATGAGTTCTCATCACTATTTATGGAAATAGTGAGAATGGGAAGTGGGGTTTGGTTCTTCGTGTTTAGTGGAATAATGACGGAGAGAGTGGGGTTTTCAAGTGGCGGTTTGGGGGTGGGGGCACGGGTGTCAGTGAAGAAGATGACCGATGGTGGTGTCGGAGGTGGCGTCCAATGCTGTGGCCGATTGTTAGTCGTGGGGAAAGGCTAGGGATGAGTTGGGTTAAGAAAGGGAAACTATTTTTTAATTTTAATTTTTTTTTTGGTTTTTTAATTTCTTATTTATTTATTATTTAATGTGGTAATTTTAAACTTACCCTTTTACCAAATTTTGACTTTTTTTTGGTTAATTAACGGTCAAATGGACGAATTCCATTCACTTGAACTCCAGATACATATTTTTGAAAGGTTAGAAACCTTGTTGGCACAAATTGAAGGTTAGGGTAAAATTTGCAAAAATTGAAAAAGTTAGCAACCACTGCTGCAATTTTCCCATTTTTATATTCTTATTCTCAACTTTTATTAATTAGAGAATCTTGTCCTTATTTATAGTTTTCTCCAAAAATTGTGTTAACGTGATGTAAAATGAAGAAAAAATATTTCGTCGTAATTTTGCATTTGTTTTGTTTTTCTTATTAAAAATATACTTTTAAGTTTTTCCACTCTTTCTTAATAAAATTTTTAGATTGATTAGAGATAACATGTGCTAATTAATGAGAAATTGAAAATATAAATAAGAGAAAAATATTTGAAACATAAATGTAACAGTAAATAAATGTTATGGACTTTTCATTCAACTAAAATGTAATTTGACAATGATCCAAAGTTGAATTATTAACCAAACAATTGAGAGGCTTGCTACATGAACATGGCCACGTGAGCCATATTCAAACAGGAGGACGACGTGACGCCCTTATAGGTGGGGCGCGTAGCCCTAATCAACAATAATAATCCATACTTCGATGACCCATAATTTGTAAAGACAATAGCCAAAATGGTTTCATGTTCTCGTTAACTCCTTTTCATTCCCTTCACATCATATGTATTCTTTACTGTATTATTATTTTAAGATCATGTTTGATAGAAATTAAATTTTAATTTAAATCAAAGTTAAAAAATTAATTTTAACTATATATTTTATGATATTCACAATTTTTCATTCACACATTTCATCAACTTTTATTAAAATTTGCGTAATTCTATTCTGCCCCACTAGAATTACAATCCAGTTTAGGTAGCGCTAGATGATAGGTTGAATCTAAGATGAAATCAAATGATTTATTTAATTCCACATATTACTTAATGCCACATTAACGTCATTTAAATTGCGATTGTAATATCAGTGAGACTATATAATGTTATTCTTAAAATTTTAATTTTATAGGGTGGGCTTTTCCCAACGTAGCGGCCATAGCATATCCTCAGGCCTCAACATGATGGCCAACGTAGGTACTCTGGTCACCCCTTGAAAAGCCCAACGTTCTTGTAGCATTAAATTCACTAAAATGTCACCACCACATTTGCAAATTGAAAACGATGAAAAAAAGAAAAAAGAACATATTGAAAGTTGAAAAACAATTTTTTTTAACCCTTCAATCATTTAATTTTACATGTACATTATGGACACTTTTATGAATACAATAATGTACATAAAAAATTATCGAATTATTTGAAGTTTGATGAGTAACCCGTGACAATAATCAAAATTGGATGATTCTTGAAACATTTTACTCATTGTCCGTGGTCGATAATCTTCCGACTATCCATTATTTCACCACTATATCGCACTTTCTTTTCAACCTCAGAGCTTTTATTTGCAATTTCCAATAACTTTGTCAAATAATTTTATATTTTTTTACTTCTCTACAATAAAAAAATATTATTTTTTATTGTTTGACAAATTTATAAATCCCTTTTAAAGAAAAAATAGTACGAGGAATAATAGTTAGTTCTAAGAAATATATCTGATTGAAATAAATATTTGATTGGATTTATAAATCAATTTATAAATTGGTAACCAAACAAGTAATTTTATTTGTTTTTAACTTTTAACAGCAACAGAAAAAGTTGTGTATTTTAGAGCATGTTTGGCAGTGATTACGAGAATTGATTTTTTGACTGTTGTAAGAGAAAAAGTGGATCTCATTTGTAACTGAAGAAATTAAAATAACGATTAAAATAATAAAATAACGATCAAAAAATTAATTTTTTAAGGAGAAAAATTGCTATTTAACGGAGGGTTAATTTTAATTTATAAAAATGCTTTTTTATTAATAACTAAAAATAAAACGTCTCTCTTGACCGGCTCCCTCCTCTACGCGCGCACACCATAGCCCTTATCAGTTTAGGGTTTAGGGAAATCCGATTTTCTGCATAATGGAAGATAAAGAACAAAGACAGAACCTTGAATCCAAGGAGAAAATCATTCAAATTTTTTCAGATTTCATGACAAGGTTAAATTCTAATTTTTTAAATTATTGTGCAATTAATTTATATCATTTGCTCTTTCTTCGTTTGTGCGTCATTTATGTGTAGGATTCCAATTGTTTAGTTATGTATTCTCTTTTACGACGTCACCTTATGCCGGCACTGCCGTTACAGGATCACAATGTTTGAAGAACTAGTCGACGTCGGAAGCAAATTACTCGTCGGCTTTCAGCAAGCACTCGGTGTGTATCTTGCTTGTTTTTCTACTTCCTTGATTAAGGCTACGAGAATTATATTGCATGTTTGGTTAAACTTAAAAAGTCTGCTTATAAGTGAATTACCTATAATTAGATAAGTTTCTAAATAAATAAATTTTTATTCGTTAATGTTGAAAGCAAGTAAGCCACTTATTTGACAGCAAGTCCAGGGTTAGTTTCAAAATAAGTAACCATTTTTTTCTTTTTTCTTTTTTTTATTATTACTTAAAAAGTGAGGAGAAGTAACATATCCAAACAAACTATTTCCCAAAATTAAAAGTGACCTTTTTACTTATGTTTAAGCTTAGACAGAGATGCTCTAACTTTTAGACATGTTTGATGACATGGAAATGGGATCTCGAATTTGGAATTAGAAATTATGGATTCAGATTTGAATTGTTGTTTTATAAGAGGCTGATTTTGGGCCTCCATTGGATGCAGCGTCTAGTCTTTTGCGAAAGCTTAATGATTTGCCCTTATAATTATGCAGGTTTTTTGGGTAGGCCTCGAATTGATAAGACTTCTGATTTGGCAATGCGCATTATCAAAGCTCAAGAGACCAAAAGGCTTAATGCCTATGTTGAGGCTGGATGTGTGAAAACTGATGACAGTATACAAAATTTAAACAAGTGTAAGTGTCTTTAACACTTCAACAGTTCAACTCTTCATTTTCGTACTTTTTAGACAATAATACATTCTTTATGAAACGCCACTGGTTTTCTGTAATTGTACCATTTTGATCTGTGGATTTCTTAAACACCATTGTGTTAGTGAACAACATTATGTGGTGTATAAGTTTTATAATATCAGATAAAAACAATCTTTTCCACAACATAGTTATTTAGTGACATTAATTTAACCAACAAAGTTAGATTGTTTATCAGTTATATTCTTCACACCTATATTACATATAAATGTATAACATGCGTAGTTCTGCTGATTTGTTCCAATGGAACCTCGAGAAACTTTTCTAAGAATTTGATTGAGACGACAATTTGCTCCTATAAAAATGAAAATCATCTCCCAAATAAAACAAATAGAAAATTAAAATAGAAAAGGAAAAAAATTGTAAAAAGTTTTTTATTTTTTAAAAAGGCAACCCTACTTCTAAATTCTGTGAAGACGACGACGATGGCCACTGGCAATGAAGTTTCCTGCCACCAGAATTAGCACGAGCCATTAGAATTTTCATTATTATCTGCACTTCAGCAGCACTGCCTATAGACTCCTTCCCACCCCTGGATTGTTCATAAAATTCCAACAAATGGGTGTTTTATGATGTTATACCGCAGGACTTGGTTGGAAAAGTACATTTATATCTTGCTTGTACGTCTGTCAAGCAGTGATAGTTCTGGTTTCCTATTCTCTGTCTGACACTCAAGTGATGGGAACATTTTATTCCTGTGTTTGATAGAGGGTATTGGGAAAAGTGATTAGTTTTATCCAACTTGAGGGACGCTTTTTAAGGTTTCAGTTGATTGATGAAGAGACCACCAAGCAAAAAATTCTCGAATGCTCTTAGAATATTGTAGGACAAATTCTTTCGTCTTTTCCAAGTGAACTTAACTGATAAGCAAAAGAAAAAATTGTGAAATAAAATATTGCTCCGTTTGGTCACATGAAATATGTATGTAAAGAATAACAAAAATCTCTAGTTTCATGCATTATTAATTTCTATAATCTTTGATTATAATTTTCAATTTTTTTACTGTGGAGAAACAATGTAATCAATGTTACTTCCTTTGCTAATCTTCTCTAGAGATTGCACTTACCTGTATACATTCATATGCAGTCTTTTACCCTGCTTCTTTGCTCGGCAGCATGTGACCAGTTGTTCAGTGATGTCATCAGAAACTGTTATGATCATATAAATGCTGTTGTTACTTTACGGTTTCCCTTGTAAATCAGGGTTACGTTACTTTTATTTACAGAATTACTTAAAACTTGAGTCTTATTGGTCTCAATCTAATTTTAATTCCTTTATAACCTAATGGATATATATGCAGAAGTGAATACGTGCCATCTCGGACTTCAAGACCATATAAATAAAGGTATATTTCTCTTCACATGACTGTTACTCATTCAGACTTTATTATGATATAGCGAGTCTATTATGTTTCTGCTATATTCTATGCATTTTATAAGTATATCCAAAGTGAAGTTTTATAGTAACCTGACCTATCAGCGCCAACTCCAGCTTTATCAATTTTATGCCCAGAAAACTTTCATGTTAGTGTCTGATATTAATAGTTTTTTGCATCTAATACTTTATTCTATGCATGTAGCCTGCATCTCCCCTATTATTTCTGAAATTATATTGTTTGCCAGTTGCAATCTGTTTTTTCTCGCTTTTAATCTTCCTTTTTATCAAAATTTATTTTTCCTCACAGTTAGTTGAATGACTAATATTCAGTGAGTTAACAATCTCTGATAATTCATAAAACATTGAAGGAATTGACTGCATCCAGTGCCGCAAAAACTAATAATTGTTATGCCCAGTATGTAATATTGAACTCCCAATAACTTTGGTGTTGGCTACATGAATTCATCTTCTGAGCTCCCATCGGTTTATTGATTGATCCAATGGAAAATATAAAGTATTGTATGCTTTACAACTACAATAGGCAGTGCTTGTTTAGGTCTACCCCTCCCTCTCCTAACAAAATATCATTACGGTATCGTTTACCAAAATAAATATAAACTTAATTTGTTATGTGAGATAGTTATATCACTTGCATTAGTTGCATATATATGCAAACATGATATCATCAATCACAATCGGAAATAGAAGGTACAATATAGCACATTTAAGAAGGAAGTTTATTATTCTCGGCATATAATAACTGCCACGTCGTCATTCTATTGATTTGAAATTTATGAATTGCTTTGTTTTGTTGCCATTGAATTTATTCAGTGAGTTAACAATCTCTGATAATTCATAAAACATTGAAGGAATTGACTGCATCCAGTGCCGCAAAAACTAATAATTGTTATGCCCAGTATGTAATATTGAACTCCCAATAACTTTGGTGTTGGCTACATGAATTCATCTTCTGAGCTCCCATCGGTTTATTGATTGATCCAATGGAAAATATAAAGTATTGTATGCTTTACAACTACAATAGGCAGTGCTTGTTTAGGTCTACCCCTCCCTCTCCTAACAAAATATCATTACGGTATCGTTTACCAAAATAAATATAAACTTAATTTGTTATGTGAGATAGTTATATCACTTGCATTAGTTGCATATATATGCAAACATGATATCATCAATCACAATCGGAAATAGAAGGTACAATATAGCACATTTAAGAAGGAAGTTTATTATTCTCGGCATATAATAACTGCCACGTCGTCATTCTATTGATTTGAAATTTATGAATTGCTTTGTTTTGTTGCCATTGAATTGGCACATTGTCCTTTTCTATTTTCCTTCACCTTCTTGTTTTCTTTCCACCAACTGATGATAATCTATCTGGCAAGTATACTGCCATGAGTCTTAATTGCCAAAGTAGATGCTAAAAATTTTTGATAGAAAAATATATGCATCGAAAGTATATGCTCATTCCA